TTAAGAACAAAAAGAGCAGGATATAAAATTTGATGAGGGGAACAGTACTTAAACTCTCCTTCCTGCAATTTTCATATTTGGATTTTTAAAGTCTGATGAGCTCTTTCCACTATAGCTTGCCCTTGGGGTTTGTAGGAAATGCCAGTGCTACGTATTATATTGAAAGTAATACAGAAGTTTTTGAAGGCCTTAGCAGTATAAGCAGGGGCATTATCTGTTTTCAAAGCCTTGGGCATTCCCAGGTAAGAAAAGCTTACATCTTTGTAAGCTTTTCCAGTCCTTGCAGAAGCAACAATAGCATGTGCTGGGGTCCAGCCTCAGCAGGGTTCAGGGTCCCGGAAGGATGGATGGTGTGGGCGACGCATGAAGTCAGACACCCAGTTGGATTCTGGAGAACAGCCAGCCTCTGTGGGACTGACCGAACTCGCAGAGTTTGCTTTAAGCTTTATTTTTATAGAGATTGTAACATAACATTAAAAGAGCAGGTGCATGGCATGAAGTTATGTTAAACAAAGGTTATTTTGACTAGCAGAGTCATAAATCAGACAATTAGAGCTAGCTGTATGAATAGAGCTTTTGATGTCCCACTTTTCTTATCTGTCTAATTCTACTTGATATATATTTTTCGTCTAAGGTAGAGGAGGTAGCTGTTACCCCATCACCTTTTAGACGTTCAGGGGCTACTTTATTCAGGGGGAACTTTGTTCTCTGGCCAAGAAATCATTTTGTGCAACTTCATTGGAATTATGCAGATAATTGACCCTGAAATGCAGGTGTCTAAAAATCCCGCCACCTACTAATCGCAAAAACAAACATGCAAGGAAAGATGGACAGGAAATCCAGCCACAGTTGCCTCTGCTGTGCAGATGCATTTCATCTATCCCAACTGCCAAGGGACAGCTGCTGGTCGGCTCCCGACAAGTGTGTGAGTAGGTATCAACAGACACATGCACACAGCAGAGTTTACCAAAAGATGGAACATGAGTAACATCCATCTGCCAGAGATCATTGGGTCTAAGTCCTTGAGGATTAACTCCGGCACTAAGACAAGAACTATGAGTAGGACAATGACCACAGTTGTGTACAATATTACAAGCAGATTCTCTAGGTATGCAGAACTGTTGTCTGAGTGCAGAAGCATTTTGGTGATGTAAGGCATGAGACTTAGTAGCCTCTTCTACTGCTGATAAGGAGATAATATTTTGAGTTAATAAATCAGCTCTCCTATTTCCTTCACGGAGAGGTCCTGGGATGGAAGTATGAGCCTGAATATATCCTACAAAGAAGGGTTGTGTTCTCTGATGAATATGCTTTTGTGAGACTTGTAACAAAGAAAAGATAGTCATTTTGTTGTCTGGCAACGAAGCAGTTTCAACGTGAGGAAATAACCGAGTGATGTATTGAAAGTCAGTGTATAAAGTAAAGGAGATGTGTCTCACCTTTTCAAGCTGCTGCAATGGCTGTTCCTTCTAGAAAAGCTGGACCTACATCAGCACACTGCTTAACAAAGTCACTCAAGGAGCCAGTTTTTCTGACAGATCTCAAAAGGGCTTGGCAGGTAGTATTAGCATTTGCAAAGGCTAATTGTTTTATGAGCAAGTCAGCAGCCTCCTCATTATTAATTACTTGCCTTACCCCGATTGAATGAGAGGCAAGAGAAAATTCTTATATGCTTCATCTGTCCTCTGCTTTACTTCTGACAAGGATGCTGTTTTACCCATTGCAGACAGAGGCAACGCTTTCCAAGCATTAACAGCACACGTAGTGACTTGAGCTATAGCCATTCTTCTCATATATATTTGATATCAAACAGGTATATGCTCTCCTTTAGTAACATGGGGAGAGTAATGTCTTTTTCATCTTTAGATTCTTTGTTTATAACAGCCTGTTTTTTAGCCAGGTCATCTTACTCAGCTTTCCATAAAAGAAAATTTCCTCCAGTAAGACACGATTTGGCTATTTGCATCCAATTATAAGGGGTCATCCATTTAGAAGCTGAAGTATCCACTAGAGTAACAGTATATATAATGGACTAGTGGCCCATAACTATCACAAGCTGTCTTGAGCTCTTTCAGCAACTTATAGGGTAGAGGATCATATTCTGCAAAATCATCATCATCATAGACTACAGGAAAACATAGAGCCATATCTGTATCTCCCACCTTTTCTGCCTCTCTTAGAGCCCTCTGTAATTTTGACAGGGGACCCAGAGGTGGTGGTGGCACTGACATCAGAGGACACATTATCTGTTTTTGCCTTGGTTCAGGGAGACCTGATCCTTTTGTTGCAGGGCCAAGTTTGTTTTTTACCACCCTCAGAGGTGCAAAAGGGCAGGCTTTGTGAGACAGGGAAAGTCCAGTCATCCCTATGTAGGGATGCTGTGTAGCTGCTGCCTCTTTAAGATCTGCCTCGTCCTCAGAGGGAAGTTGATCGTCGTCCCTGAATGACTTTACTCAGTTAACTTTTGACTCAGCCAGAGACAACAGAGGAGTTTTCTCCTCTGGCACTGGGGCAGTAGGAGTCAATTTATTATGAAAGGAAACGCTTCCATGTTGTGGATCTAAAGTGTCTCTTATGAGATTCCAGAGAGAGAAAGCATCGACAGGAATATCCTCAGGTCCGTGGTCAGCATAGTATTGCTTAATACTATCACCAACCTTGAGCCAGGTATCTATATTAACTGTGCCCTCTTCTGGAAACCAAGGGCAACATTGCACAAAATGTAGGAACCTACCTATCTGATGAGTAGTAACTCTTATACCTTTCTTATTAAGCATATGTGGAATGATTTCAATAAGAAGTCTTCCTTCTTTAGACTCAGTATGGCCCATAACTTCTCAATTTAGTTCTGATTCTTCTTCCCACCACACTCAACCTCACTCACTCGAGGGGGCTTGCGAAACCCTACAGTGGGGTCCTGGGCATCCCGAAAACGGGGGTGGGGCCTACCTTCGGGTCCTGTTCAGGTGCCACTTGCCGGGGTCCAGTCTTGGCATGTCTCAGGGTCCCTGAAGGATGGACGGCACAGGCAACTAATAAAGAGTCAGACACCCGATTGGATGCCGGAGAACAGCCAGTCTCTGTGGGTCTGAATGAACTTGTAGAGTTTGGTTTAGGCTTTATTTTTATAGAGATTGTTGTATAACATTAAAGGAACAGGTGCATGGCATGATCAGTTAAGAGGAAAAATCAATACAGAGGTAACTAGGAAAAGTACAGGAAATTCCATAGGTTCAATTATGTTAAACAAAGGTTATTTTGACCAGGAGAGTCATTAATCAGACAATTAGAAAGAGCTGTATGTACAGAGTTTTAAATGTCTTATTGTTTATTAAAGTTCTTAGAATTTGGCATGGGTCAAAGGATATGCTAGACTGAACAGTGGTTATAGGAAATTGATTACAAGGCCTTTGCTGTGTCTAACTTAGCTATCTATCTTGTCTAGAATCTTACTTTATGTACTTTGGACTCTAACTCCTTAGCAATTGTTTCTACGTGCTTAGTTTGTAATAGTTAACTAGCCTCTCCTGCTTCTTTATCTGTCTAATTCTATTAACATATATTCCTGTCCAAGGTAGAGGAGGGGCTGTTACTCCATCAACTTCTGGACATTCAGGGGCTACCCCATCGGGGGGACCTTTGTTCTATGGCCAAGAAATCATTTTGTACAACTTCGTTGGAATTCTGCGGATCATTGGACCTGAAATACAGGTGTCTAAAAATCCCACCACCTATTAATTGCAAAGACAGACATGCAGGGAGAGATAGACAGGAAATACAGCCACAGTTGCCTCTGCTGTACAGATGCATCTCATCCATCCTGGCTGTGTCAAGGGACAGCTGTTGGTCGGCTTCGACAGCTTCAGCTTCAGTCCTTCAGCTTCTCTCATCTGCCCCGTTTGCACTATTTCTTAGCTCTCCTGCTAAGGTTTAGCCTGTCTTCCCGGTGCCCTCCCGTCTCTGCTGCCTCCTGATGGTGCTGCCAGGCTTCCTTTCTTTCTAACCTAACTGCTTTCCCAAACGATGAACCATCAGATGAACGGATGCACGCCCTTGAATTCACCCAGGGCTGGAGGCCACCTTTCCATCCTTGTGGTTGTGGGACTGGGGGTGGCATTACCAAGTAGAACCTTTTAGCTGCCCTTAAAGTCATTTCAGCCATTGCTCTTTCACTGTAGACAGAGCTAGAACCTGCTCAGGAGGCAAATGCTTGCCTCTCCAGGTGTGGCGTTGTGTACCCTTGACCTTCATCCTCTCCTGGAGTAGGTCTGCCCCAGGAGCGACGCCTATCCCGGCCCTTTAGAAGGGCAGCGCTCGAGCCGACCTCTCCATCCCTTTGATACTCTGATCCTCGGCTCCTCAGCGTCTGTGTGTGCTTCAGTTTCGACTGGGAGCACAGGGCTGTACTTGTTCCCGGAGCGCCGTGTTACAAAGCAGGGACGGTCCGACTCGCCCTGGGACTGTGTTTTCACTCAGGTGTCACGTTAGGAGAGGAAGAAGAGGAAGGAAGCTCTGGGCTCCTGCTTCTGGAGCAGGCTCGGTGGAGACGGTCTTGAGTCGCGGATGGGAAAGTGTCGGCGGGGAGCTGGGCTCCTGGGCGCCCTGTAAGGACGCCGCAGGGGGCCTGGGGTCAAGGGGGCCCTAAGAAAAGTATAAATGACCTTTCCATGGTTTTCGGACAAAACATGCCCCAGGGGTTGGCTGATCGGCAGCGGGGCACCTGGGGTCGTGAACACGACTCGCCGAAGTGACTACTGTCACGCACCCGGCTGACCCTCGGTCCCCGCAGCCGGCCCTGCTTCGGCGGGGTCTCCACCAGCGCAGCACCGCGGGGCCCCGGTTTCTCTGCGAGGAGGGGCCTGTGTGCGGGAACGGAGCCGAATTCGGGCGGGCGACCGGACCGGTTCCCTCCAGTCCTCGGAGGCCGGGCTCCAGGTCCCCGCCGAGCGGGAGGCGGAGGCGGAGCCGGCGGGCGGGGCTTAGCGCCCGGGCGGACCTGCGGCGGGCGGTGCGAGTCCGGCCTGGAGCCGCGGAGCGGACCGCGGGCAGTCACCGCCCGGCCTCCCCGCGCGCGCCGTCGCCGCCCCGCTCCCCTCGGCACCCGCACCAGCGCCGGCCATGACGGGCTCGCAGTTCAAGGGGAACTTCTGGGTGAGTCCGCCGGGCGGCCCCGCGCCACTCCCGCGCTTGGCGCTGCGCCGAGCGGGTCCCGCTGCCTCCGGGCGGAACCGGAGCGGACACTCCGCGGAGGTCCCCACTCTGCCGGGATCCCAGCCGCCGCGCGCCCGCAAGTCCCCGGGTCCGGTTCCCGCGTGCCCCGCTTTGCCGCTCATACCCCAGCGACACGTACTCCCGCGGAGCCCCAAAGAGTTGGGACATCCACCCCTTATCTCGCGGATGAAGCCAAGACCCAAAGGGAGGAGCGACCCAGCGGGGAGAAGAGCCAGTGGCCCTGGAGGCTGCGAGCGGATTCGGGGGAGCCTGGGGTCGGGGACCCGCGGTGCGCTCCGCCAGGCTGGCGGCGGCAGTCGTCCCCGGGGGGTGGTCTTTTCCAGGTCCGTGGAAACGCGGAGCCTGTCGGAGCCAGGTCAGCTCCGACCCCCCCTGCAGACCCTGGAGAGGTTCTCTTGCAGAAGTGTCGTCCCGCCCTGTAGCCCTGCCTCCTGAGCCCCCCTCCGCAGGCCGTGGCCCCGGCCCAGAGGGAGGCCGAGGTGTGTGAGACTCGGTGAGCTGGTGGGGGCGTCCAAGCCCAGCAGGACCAGCCCAAGTCGGAGGCAGCAGGTCTGCCTGCCCCCGCCCTCCTCTGTCCCCCCTTCTTACTCCCCAGGGCCCCTTAAAGGTGCGCACCCCTTCACTTAGAGGAAATACCCTCGTCCCTTTAAGGCAGGAGCGGGAAGTCAGCAGCGCACCTCAAAGTTGACCTTCAGCTGCCTAGTGGCCCCAGCTTCCTACTTGGGACCCTGTTTGCCCTCCATTTAGCTTCACAGCTCCGTGTCCCCTATCATGGGCTGCTGAATGGGGAAACGTGGCTCTGTGGCCTCAGAGACAGTTTATTCCCTGCCTTGTGAAGTCCCTTTTCCTGGGCTTTTTGAGGTTCTCTGGGGACACTGCCTACCTGTGGGGTGCAGGGCTGAGGAGCTTCATTCACGGGGAGATGAATGACCTCACAGCTGGCCCGGCGAGGAAGCCTGCTCAGGTAGAATACAGGGCTTCTGGGTCCCATGAAGGGCATCGTGGAAAAAAGCAGAACGGGGAGACCCCTCCCGCCGTCCACCCCTAAAGTGAGACAGCCAGTTTTCGGATCTTCGCTCAGCCGATCCCGCTTCGGGAAACCTTTCTTGATGGCACCCGACAGGCTCTGTCACCAGTTCACTGGCACACATCCTGGTCTGTCTCAGCATTTGTTAGTTTGTGGTTTTGCATTTGGGGCTTACCACCACGTGAGCACCTGGGGACGGGAACTGTGCTGGCTTTTAGTGCCGCTGCCCCTTACACAGCAGGCCGAACAAAGGCGCTCTGCAAATAGTTGCTGAATGAGTAACGTGGATCTCTGAGGCCAGCAGCGCATGCGATGTGCTAAGAGCTGCAGCCTCCATCCTCAGAGGGCTCCCCGGCCCCAGGAAGGCAGCCCTCCCCCCCCAGCTGCTCCTGAGGCGCACTTACAGGAGTGGCTAGGGGAGGGGACAGAAATGAGGTCTGGTTGGGACTGTGCCTACCTAATGGTCTGGGGGAGAGAACTTTCTGGGCTTCTACTTTCCGAAGGTATCTGAGATCCTGGGAGGTAGTTTGCACAGGTTATCTTCTATCTCTAATGTCCTGTGATGCTTTATGTCAAATAATAAAAACAGTAATAGCTAATATTACTGTGCACAAAGTCTGTGGAAAGACTGTTTTAAATGCTTCACCCACACTACTCATTTAATCCTCACAACCACCCTATGGTGATAGCTTACTTACAGGCCATTTTACAGACCAGGAAGCTGAGTGGCAGAGAGGTTAAGCAACATTCTCATGGTCCGTGAGCTGTTAGTGCAGCCGAACTCCATGGACCACATGCTGAGTGAGTGCCTCAAGGAGGGTGGTGTGCAGCGAGTCCCAGCATAGCTGCCCACATGTCTGTCTTCCATGGCAGTGCCACAGGAAGTTGGTGGGTCACCACTGGACCTTCATATGAATATATCTTTCTTCTCCAGCTCCAACCATGAGCTCCCGGACAGGTGTCACCATCAGCTGGGCCCTCAGCTCCTGCCATAGTGCCTTGCATTGGATGCTTAGGAGTCAGGTAGAGGGGACAGTCAGGCAGGACTTGGGAAAAGGTGGGTGGAAGGGAAACTGTCATGGACTTCAGGGGCTGCCTCTGAGGCTTTCACACTCTCAGGGGGTAGGGAGGCAAGGCTGTTGAGAGCACTGAGGGGTTGGCAATAACCCTTATGAGAGGGCTGTGATGGGATAAGGTGGGAAAGTTTGGAAACATAAGTGGGTATCAGTGGACTGTATGTAATGCATATTCATGAATTACCTTCTTTGTATAAGGCACTCTATGAGAGGGTATTGTCAGGGTAAGACCACCACTGTGGTTGGAAGGTAGATTTCTCGTGAGGAAGCAAAGCTTTGTGCTTGAATACCTGGCCTCCAGAATGTGGAGGAGGCAGGGGCAGGGAGTAGGGAGAGTCCAGCAAGGCCCAAGGAAGCTGGGCCAGGGGTCGAAGGGTCTGTTCCAGGGTTGAGACCATAAGGAGGAGCAAGAGATGAGACAGGTGGGATGAGCTGCAGACAGTGGAAGAGGTCAAAGCCACAGGATGAGGCCAGCAGTGAAAGGTGAGCAGTAGGGAAGAGGAAAGGAGGGCTTCTGTAAGGTGAATTTGAGAATGAGTTGTGGGCCCCAGAAATAAGGAAGTTAGGAGGAGGAACTGGTTTGTGGGGAGAGAAGGAGAGAGGGGGAGGAGGCAGAAGTGATGTGACCAGGATCTAACCACAGGGGTAGCAGTGGTGAGGACCAGGGCCAACAGTGTCCTGAAGCCCGTCCCTGAAGCCCTTCTTTGTTGTTTCTTGTTGTTGTTTATTTTTATTTTTATTTTTTAATTGTTCAAGTACAGTTTTCTGCCTTTTCTCCTCACTCCAGCCCAACCCACCCCCCAAAGAAGAAAATAGGCTATCACACAGACCCCAACCCCTCACCCCCAGCACCGTGCTGGGGTTGCTGGATGCAGGGAAGTCTCAGAGGGGATGAGCTGGGAGGGGACAGGGTGCCAGGTGGCAGGGTTTGTACGTATTTTAATGTTTAAACAACCAGTCCAAACGTGTCAGTGAGTACCCTCTGATGACTGGCGGTCAACACTCTGGGTTTGAGGGGTTGGTGGGGACGGCTCCAGCCCCTTGGGGAGGGTGTCCAGGCGAGAGAGCGCATGGAATTGCATGAACTACACAAGTGTCATCTTACCAGCTGAGTCTCCGAGGTGGACCAGCCAGGTTCAAATCCCAGGTCTGCCTTTTGCCAGCTGGTGCCTTAGGCAGTTACTTCAACCCCCCCACCCTCACAAGCTTCAGTTTTCCCATGTATAAAAATCGGGGTAATAATAGTGTCTACTCCATAGACCTGTTGTGAGGATGAAATTGGAGACTGGTACAGAGGTTGGCGCATAATGAGCACTTGTGGTTGACAGCTATTAACAAAGGAAATGGGGAATAGTCACTCAACTGGGGAGGAAGAATGAAGATGTAAGGAGTCCCCAAAGAAGCACTCTTGGTGAGTGCCCGTGTGTAGGCAGGCAGAGAGAGGGGCAAAGGAAGAGGGGCGGAGACACAGGGCTACCCCAGGAAAGAGCAATCACAGGCCCGAGAGAGGGGCCATTCCCCTGCAAGTTGAGATGCCTATGGTCAAATTAGGTAGGTGGTCTTGGAAAGGTATGACTCAGCACGTACTTCATAAAACAGTCTTATTCAAATGCTTCATGGAAATGTCTTGTTTGTTTATTTATTTATTAAAGTTTTATTTATTTTTTGACAGAGGGGAAGGGAGGGAGAAAGAGAGGGAGAGAAACATCAGTGTGCAGTTGCCTCTTGCATGCCCCCTAGTGGGGACCTGGCCTGCAACACAGGCATGTGCCCTAGACTGGGAATCGAACCAGCGACTCTGGTTCGCAGCCCATGCTCGATCCACTGAGCTACACCAACCAGGGTCTCACAATTATTTTAAAAATAAGGTGGGATGTAACCCTTCTCTTGGTATTTGGCATTTATGTAATTTTTGATTTTTTTAAATGATAATGTTGGGATGCACATCTTCATTCATTTAGGGTATTTAACAATACTGTATTCTTTAAGAATCTATTTCTGAAAACTTGTGAAAGAACTTGTCACTACCTCGCTGTGTTACAGTGTTTCTCAAGCAAGACCACACTCTCTTTCCACAATGCTAATTTCGTACTTTTCCCCTCTACTCAGCCTTCCACTTCCCTCACACATTCTCACTCTGTTTTGATGATCTTGCCTAATACTCTGGTAAGAACCCAGTTACCAGCTGGTGAAAGCTCGTTTACCTTCTGCATGCACAGGGTTAGGTTCAGCCACAGGTAACAGAAACACCCAAAGCAACAGTGGCCTAGACAAGGACAATGTTTGTTTCTCTCATGTACACAAAGCCCCTGACTGAGCATTCTGGCTGGCACCGCCATCCCTGGTGTTGGGACCCACAGCGCCGTCTGGTGACGGCAGCGGTGCCTGGCCCCATGCTCGGTGCACAAGAGAATCCCAGACATACCAGCTGGGTAACTAAAATAGCGTTCCTTACCAGTAGAACTTTTCAAAGCTTTTGATATGTAGAACCGAACAGATTTCCTAAGTGGGAGATACATCCTCAGGGTCCCTAATAACATCTGACGATGCCGGTTTCACAGCATTAATTGTGGCCATTGTAGTTTTTCCTCTTCTCATTAAATCAGCAAAAATGGGCGCTGTGCTAAACTTTCACTTGTGTTTTTAATTACCAGGGAGAGTGAACATGTTTTTCTTTTTATTGAATTATTGGGGTGACACTGGTTAACAAAATATACATGTTTCAGGTACATAATTCTACCACATATCAACTGGCCCCTGTATTGTGTGTTCACCGCCCCAAGTCAGGTCTACATCCATCACCATTTACCCCCCAC